AAAAAAAAGTAGAAAGGGAAAATTACGCGTCCAGAAATAATCCAGCATCACTGAGGCACTTCACTTTAGTAGCTGTGGAAAATAAATTTCGAAATCTGTCACAATGCAAAATAGAAGCTAGGCCGCCAGCCGAGCAACCTGAAAGAAGCACCTGAAAGCACAACAATATATTTGAAAGTGATCATTTATGAGAAGATTTATTCAGAAAATATGAATATACAATAACTAGAACGAATCAAACGAGTCAAGATCATTATTACTTGTTCCGCATTGCCCATTCCTTTTGACATCAGTTCACTCATTACAGCTTGGAATATGCGTTGTCCTCGAAAATACAAGCCTCCGACCTACACAGTGATTGTGAACTTAACATGGCTGAGAAATACGCAAAAATGAAAAATAAATAAAAAAGCAAACTGACTTCAAAGTTCAAACTACCTTTTCTCTTTTGTTACCGGAAAAAGACGCGCCATCGCAATAGCGTACCTTTACTCTGTTCCAGTTAAAAAAATCTGATATAATAATAAAAAAAAAAAAGATCACAGCGTATAAAAGAGCGAAAATTAAGCAACAGTTTGAAGTGGGAATGGAAAGCGATTAAAGCTATTGATATTGATCAGAACAAGTAATTCCTTTAGTTTTACAGACCTGGATTTTCACTTCTCTTGTTGCTAAGTATCCCTATAAATGGTACTTTATCCTCAAAAAATTTAGATGATCCATGACGTGTTGTACTACGATACTTACACGTTCTGAGATTGTTACACCACCCTCCTCCCTGCCAAATTTCACATTAAAATAAATAAAAAAAATGTAATATCTCATTCTCTTTATGAAGTAACTATATTAATAATTTTCTCACATATAATCAAGATTCGAAACGCGGAACAATGATCTAGTACGAGTTTCAGTCTTGATAATAAAAAAAAGCTAAAGAGATTGTATTGAATTGAATGTATTAGCATCTTTACACACCTCTAACTGGATGAGCCAACTCTTTGCTCCCGACCCAAAACCGAGATTCAAGTGATAGCCCGNGTACTTTAAATTTGTCAAAATTTTGAAATAAACCAAGGAGAGTGTTTATTTAATTACCATTTAAGTTAAAAAAATTTACACAATTAATTTTTTCTAATAATTGGGGATATTATTTGCATACATATAATTAAGAAATTAAATAAATGTTTGTAACTTATATTAATGTATGCATCATCTGCAAAGATGACAGTGTATGATGAAAACCGCATATGACATTCATTGTCTCATGCAAGGTACTACTCCATGGGGCCATATCATAATCCATTAAACAAATGTAAAGATGAGCACCACAAGCTAAATTGTTTATTAACCTTGCAAAGCAACTATACATGATTATTTCCAAAGTTAGGTCTCCTCACTCCACCTAATTATTTCCAGCATTAGATCAATACAATTAAATTAAAATTTAATAAAAGAAAAAAGAAAAAAACAAGGCAGAATCCGAGGCAACAGTCAAGGCAATCGAAACAAAACAGGGGAAATATTTAGAGATAAAATTAACTGATTAACAAAAAAACTACACACAATTTCACATTTTCAAATAACTGCAATCAAACAATAAAATGATTTGCAGTGGTTGAGACAACTCATTAACGAACCTCATTAATTGCAATAAACCCATAAATAAACAATTACTATAATATAAAATTACACAAACAACCTCTACACTAAAATTAAAAATTTCAAGAGGGGGAAAGAGAAAAGCACCAGCTCCGGCGGCCGCAGCGCCTTTGACGAGAGTGTGCCCCACCATGAGAGTGTTTGGAGGAAGTTCTGCAGCCGACTCTCCATAAACAGACCCCGCAAACGACGCCGTATCATAAAGTTCGAAACTTTCGACAACCCATTTTCTCAAAACGAATAAAACACAAATCGAAACCCAAATTAGCCTCCCCATTTTCAAAGACTCACACTTTCGAGGCCCCCCACCAAAATTTCAGCACAAAAGAAGAAAAAGAATGTATAGTGTGGACAGCTAATATGAGCTAAATCAAGGGAAAATTGCAACTTGGAATGAGCAAATATATGGGCATGGCACAATGTGGCCCCTTTTTTTTTTCTTCTTATTGTCTATTTTCTTCTGGGCCTTTTTCTTATTCTCCCAGAATTTGCGTCGCAACTTTTGGTTAGTATTGTAGGTAAAACTTAAAAGCAGTGTTATCTGCGAGGAGTGATAGTGTACAGTGATTTTGCGGTGCTACGAAAGAATATATTTGCACGTTTCAACATGTTTAGAACTTTAGATGGTACATGGTTTGATATGAACATTTTGACTCAAGGTTGGCATGAACGATATGTAATTATGGAAATTATTATTTTTTTGATTTTTTCAAATTGATTTGACGCAAAAATAATGAGACTGTGCGACCTACATATATCGACCTTTATATTAAAAGCATGAATTCGATGTCTTGGGAGTAGGGTTATAACTGAATCGAATCGAAACGAATACTCAATTATTCGATTTGAATTCGTGAAAATATTCGACTATATTTATTCGTATCCGATTGGTTATTGAATTCAATTTGTGATTTGTATTCGACTTGATTAAGATAATCGAATATATTTGATTTGATCATATATTCGTTTTTAGAAATTATTTATAAATATATTTATATATTTATATATTTTTTTAATATAATATATATTTTTAAGTAAATTAAATATGCTTTTTGAAATATAAATATCTTTTTTTGTGTTTTATATTTATACTTAATATATTTATCTATATTGTATAAGAAAATTCTTATATTATATATAATATATTAAATTATATATAATTTTTATTAACAAATTGAATATTCGATAATTTTGAACCGAGTGTGTGCATATGATTCGAATAAATTTCGGATACTACACTATTACTATTTGAATTTGAACTTTTACAAATATAAATCACGNTATAGTTAATTTTTAAAAATGTAGTATGGTTAGTTGTTAGTGGGGATTTAAGTTTAAAATATAATAATTAATATTGATTTGATGTAAAAGTATAAGAGAAATTATGTGAATGGTTGTTAGTTAAAATAATGTGAATTGCTAAAATCATCCCTATATATTTTTTTCGTCGAACGATAATTATATTAAATTTGAGAAACTCAAAACAAGTACACATGAGGTGTCAACGGACACCACTAAAACTAGCACAAAGACTGGATCCACCCCCTTCGAATTACACAGTCAACCATGGGGGTACAATCACCCGCAAAACAACTGAACTCCAAGAAGGAGACAAAACAAATCCATAAAAATGACTAAAGTCAGACGCAGTTGGACTTAAATCAAAAAACTAAGAGAAAAAACTAACAAACAACTAAATCACACACCTAAGCAATACAATAGAGCTTTCCTCACTGTCGTCCAACATCTGTCACCCACACAAGAGAGAACAACAATCCAAGAAAGATAGGAACACGACCCTGACACATATCAAGAAACTCCAAACTCCATTACTCATTACACTAAGGATAACTCGTTTCGAACCGAAAATCCTATACCTTCTTCTAACATACCACCACGAGAACACAGCACGCGGAAACCAACACCCATCACCTCCCCTAACACCACACCGACAACCCCGACCTAATTCAACTAAAGGCGAGCCAAGCCACTGCCGGAGGATACTATCGATCCCAACCCCAGAAACACCAACTGAATCTAAGGGAAGTAAACAGAGCCAACCCAAGCTCCAACCGCCGAGGTCGGCGAACAGAGCCCGCAAACCCATCCGCGTTGCCATGTCTTCGGCAAAGCCCGACTAAGCTGCCCGCTGAAAGAAAGCTTCGCACAGGATGGGACCGAAACCAGACGTAAGGATAAGGTTTGCTCCTGGAGGAGGCGCACCAAAAACTGAAAACGAGGATTTCTTTTTAGTTTTAGGTTGGATTTTTTTTCAAATATTATATATTTTTAAAATTACATAATTGCTACCGCCTAGACATTTAAAGGGTTACAAAACTACTTAAATGTCACCGCGTTACATAATGCATAATAGTGTTAGGCAATATGCACACTAAGACCTGTGAAATATGCACAATAACGTAACAGTGTTTTGTGCAATGACAAAAATACCCTCGTGTGAGAAATCAAAAGTACTCATAATTGCATAAATGTCACCGTCCATTTTACCAATGCTGGCGCCTTTTATAGGACCTTGAGCGTTGATAAATCACATCCTACGGTTACGATTCATTCTTTTTTTTTACTATCACTCATTTTTATTTGATCATAACCAAGGACGGATCTTTATTAGGCCCGGGCCCGGCTGAAGCCCAGGCCCGTTATTTTTTTTTTTTAGCAACTATTAGTTTGAAAAAAAAAATATTGTATTTCTAGCCCAGTCCAATAAATCAACTTATTAATCCATCAAAATAAATCACTTATCTATTAAGTCCAAATACTACAAACACTACCCTAATAAAATATTATATATTGTTGATCAACTATTTTCACTAGGCATTAACTCACAAAACACCACTATACACCAAAGTCTAATCAAATAAATTAGTCATGGTCATGCCCCTCCTCTGAACACCAGAACATTGAATTTAGAAGAGCCAAAAAAAAAATATATTCAACAAGAAAGTGACTACTTTCAAGAAGATGATTTAATTTCTTCTTGAATAGTAAGTTATATATATTTTAAACCCCTATTAGATATTTGTTTTATTTGTCTAATTATTTTTACATATTTTCTCATTTTAGTTGAGCTATAGTAATTTCTAAGATCATTTGGTTGCAATTCTTGTTTTGTTGATTGTGTATGAAGTAGTAATTGTGTGTATGTGTGTGTGTGTGTGTTTCTTTTTTTTATCCTCTAGTGTGCTTGTTGTATATCATAATTGGATATAAAATTATGATGTGTAGGCATTTTATTTTGGTAATGACTATGTCATATGAAAAATCTATTTATTTGTAATGTAGAATTTTTAGAAATCCACATGAAACACCAACTTTCGGCCAAGAAAGGAAAAATTTTATTGATTTTATTGTTCTTTAAAAAACTTGATCGACATAAAACTAGTGAAAGTACATCAAATATGATGCAAAATAAGCATAATGTTTTTTTTTTTTTGTAAAAGCTCATCAACTTCATTAAATATTTGAAGAAAAATATTATGTAATTTTTATGAAAATGAGTTTTAAAAATTCTAGCCCAGTCTATTCTTAATTTCTGGATCCGTCCCTGATCATAACTCTCTCTCCATACATATAAATGAAGAATTTTTCAAACTTATGTGTCAACTTCTAGTGTTTTGTAGTCTCATGTAACAACAATGCGTGGAAGCTAAGTGTCAAATATATGATGTAGTGTAACTAAAAAGTTGTTCCTTCCAAATTATTTTTTTGAATCCGCCCTGCCAAGAGGTCTTTGCTTTCATGTGTGTTTTGACGACTTTTGAGCTTTGCCTCTTTAAATGTCAAAATTCGGAATTGAAGATTGGCATCTAGTGTAATAATTGACACCCAACGCGGATAATCAGTTTATGTTGGACTATAATCAATAAATCAAAAGATTGGCTAAGGGAAAGGCTAATCTATACTTATATAATAAGAATTAACATTTATCAAAATTAGTAACTTAATTAATGGTCAAAGTCAGTTTTGCATTTATTACTCTCCAAAATCGGTAACTCTTATCTCCATTTCGCACGCTCAGCATTTATGTCCTTTTCACATGCCTTTTAAACTCATTAATTATACCGATTTAATTCTCATGAAATAACTCCAATTCACACGCCTCATTAATAGCCACGTAATTTTTTATGGTAACGAAATAATCTCATTTCACACGAGCATCATTATCACATATTTTTTCGTGGTAACCCTTTTAAACATATTTTTTTTTAACGATAAATTGAAGAAAAAAAATCGTATTATAAAGAGAAGATATCTGGGATAATTTTAAGATTAAAAACAAAATCTTATTATAAGGAGAAAATATTTCATACACCTTATCATTATTCAAAACTGATATTAAGTTTGTTATTCATTTCCTAAAACAAATACACATATTAAATTTAAATATAGACATATTTTCTTTACAAAATAGTCTAGAAAAATCTTTTTTACACAATGTTAAATTCAAATGTTCTTAGATATGTTTTCCTTCTAAAATTGTTTAGAAAAGTTGTAGATGACTTCACACTTTCAAAAATAATATAGAAAATTTTGAATACTTTTACATATATAGCAATATAATATTTTAGGTGTTTTTAATTTTAAACATGCAAATTTTATATTCTCTTATACAAAATAATGTAAATTTTATATTTTCTTATACAAAATAGTTTTACATTGTTTGACCCCGAATCTTTAATTTATAATTATTAAGTATTGTTTATCCTCCTCTTTACTTTATAATTATTTTTTTTTCTCTTTTTAAATAGGATCAATAGTAGTTTTCACTTCCGTCAGTGACTCAAACTCGAGATCTATTTATAATATTGTTAATTTAATATTATTCTCGTGCATCGCACGGGGTACACACTAGTTTTATAAACACTAGATGGAATTATAAATAAGTGCCAATTTACTTTTAAAGATGATTGTGAAAAAATCAACAAAACGTGTTGTGAGAGGGACTAAACTTTAGACATCCAAACATATCATAATTTTTAAACAAATAAAAATTAACATTGCAAGTGTCATAACTTAGTTTGCATTATTTTCTAATACTATGCCATTTCATTTTAAAAAAATATAAATAATTGTTGAAAAAGGTATATGCATCCCTAAGCTTGCCTCACACCAACCATTCAGTTAAAACTTACTGAACCATTCACAAGGTAATATTTATAACATTCATTTAAGGGGAAAAAAAAATCACATTTCATGTGAAATAATTAATGTATACAAGAATACATCAACGTTTCACAATTTTCACGTTGATTCAGGTATTATTGCCCTCAGTATACCATTTCACTCTTACAACAACAGCATCAATTGGAGCTGAATCATCAATCAATAATATTTTTTTTTTAATAATTATATATATAAAATTCAATCAATATGATCTACAAATACATTGCACCATTACTGGTATCACTTGAACACCAGATTGTGGCATGTGTTGTCACACGGATACGCACAGTCGATTTCCTTGATGCTTGCTCGATCGAAATACCAATCCCCAACAGCAATCGCAATCGGCTGCTTATTTTAATGCCAGAGTTAAAATCGATGCATGAATATTAAAATGTACTCAGTCAGCCAACAACATTTTTCAGGAAGTAAATTGCAATTTTAGTCCTGTATGTTTCACTATCGTAACTTTTTCGTCCTCTTCGAATTGCTTTTTTTTTCGTCCCTTATGTTTGTAGAAAGGTTACAAAAAAGTCCTTTCGCAACAAAAAGGTCCCTTATTTGTTGCAAAAAAGGTTGCAATTTCGTCCGTATATGTATTCTCGAGAACCTTTTTGTAAAATTCTTGCAAACATCAGGGACGAAAGATAAAAATCAATTCGAAGGGGATGAAAAAGTTATGATAGTAAAACATAGAAGTCTAAAATTGCAATTTACTCTTTTTTAGGAATCAAACATGAGCAAATATGGCCTCAATGTGCATGCAGTTCGTATCTAATTTTAGTTCAAAAAAATGTAAATGTTCGTTTGTCTTTCTTTCTTTTTTTTCTTACTTTCGATCTATGGTCTCTATTATATTTTTATTACCTTGTTGTTAATAACTGGGGAATTGTCGGCAAACCATGTGTCCTGTCTCTCGGATTGGCAATGAGCAAAGCAAGAATTCAAAAATAACCCGTTTTGTCTGGAGAAGGCAAAGCCCTTAATCGCGTTCAACATGCGAATTCTAAAACCTGCTCCCGACAAGTAAATTTTAACACAACAAACTTCAAAACAATTATGGAATATAGAGCACAAGCATTTGACCATAACCTTGAAGGAATTGGATCTGTGATGGAGAACAGTGCGCATTGTTCAATTTGCAAGCACGCCACTCGCCCTTTGGGTCAGCCATTGGAGGAGCTATGCTTTCTTGGACCTGGACAAAGGAAAATTAGGCACATTTTAGATTTTACGGGTAATTGCAAAACCACCCCTGAGGTTTGTGTGTTTACATAAAGACCCCCAAAGAAATTTCAAAATTACTTAAATCCCACTTGACGTTCGATCCATTCGTAATTTTCCTCTTGAAACAACATTCTAACAATCACGGTTACTTTTAACTGAATTGTTTGTTGGATGGATTAGAATGTAATTTGCTATAACTAGAAGGGGTATATTGAAATATTTGTCATACCTGCCAAGAATCATAGGCAGCATTCAAGATGAAAAGAGGGGTCTTGATGTTGGCAATTAAGTTCTGAGGGAAGAAACACTAAGGAAAAATAAACAGAAATGAAATAATATTAGTGATCGAGAAAGTACACATTTTATGGCTCGAGAGAATAATAACGAAAAGTTGTAGGCTTACAGAGGTTGGGTCGAGTTTGTTGGTACAAAAGCTCGGCAGAGTCTTCTGAACATTCTGCAAAGATACATGTGAATAACATCAGAGAAGGATTATATTAGAATGAACAAAATGCATATACGCTGAATTTATACCATTGATCACAAAAGTGCTATTTCATATAAGATTTCCAGGATAATGTAATGTAAGATTTAATAATGCTACTAAGTCATTTTGCTCATATTCGTATTTGTACTTGTTATAATGGAATAATACAAAAATTGAGTTTCAAATGCAAAGTAATAATAAAGAAAAAGTTAATAACTTTGCCATATCATAAATTTGCTAGGCACCAAATTTTACAAATTTGATCTATAGGCATGTGTATCAACTTCATTCGTGAAAGAGTTTTAATGAAGTACAGCATTCGATTGTAAAATATACATAAGTGAAAAACTAAAAACTGCGTAAGAAAAGGACGATAGAAAGAATTAGGATTAACTGAATAATACCTGTAAGGTAACTACACCATGAAAGAAAGTCCTCAACGAGTGCCCACCAGATACATCAATACTGCCATAAACGAAATACAAATACCTAAAATGTAAGGAGGAAGAAAAATGCATGTTCTGTAATTGCAAAATGCAAAATTCAGAAAAATATGAAAATTATTACGCGTCAAGAAATAATCCAGCATCGCTCAAGCACTTCACTTTTGTAGTCGCGGGAAATAATCCTCGAAATTCGTCACAGTGCAAAATAGAAGCTAGGCCACCAGCCGAGCAACCGGAAAGAAGTGCCTGAAGGGAATGAAAATTACAAGATATGAGAAAAGAAAACAATGAAAAAAAAAAAAGAGAAATTGAATCAAATAAATATCAATTTACTTGGTCGGCATAGCGCATTCCTTTAGACATCAGTTCATCCATTGCAGCTCGAAATATGAGGTGTCCTCTAAAATGCAAACCTGCAGGCTGCACAAATTTGTGTCATATTATAGCAGGTAAATAAAAAAAAAAAGAATTTAAAGCCATGATATTTATATAGAGCATCACAAGTAATACCCTTCAGGTCTAAAGTCCATTTTGCAAAAAAAATAAAAATAAAGAAAGTGAACGAAATCCAGTTATATTTCGAATCACAGACATTCTAGTGAGACATGTAGCTATTTTACCAATTGCAATAAAACAAGAACAATATTATAATGAAACTTGTAATAAAAAATCCAAGACAGTAACCAAATGGGAGAAAATGCTAAACGGACCTCATTGTCACCATCCCCAGCAAAGGAAGCACCATCACAGTAGCGTACCTTTACTCTATTCCAGTTGAAAAAATCTGCTTACAGTAAAATTACAATGATATAAAGTTTAAAAAAAAAAATAAAAAAAATAAAAAAAATAAAAAAAAAAAAAATCTGCCTTCCTTTATTTAAAAACATCATACAAAGCTGGGAAAGCTAAGAACTTAATGTCAAACTAAAAGAAAATGTTTATTCAGTGTTATGGACCTGGATTCTCTTCAGCCTTGTTGCTAAGTATTCCTGTGAATGGAATTATTTTCTCAAAGTGTGTTGACGAGCCACGACGTGTCGTTTTACGGTAAATACAAGATCTGAGAGTATTGCACCATCCTCCACCCTGCCAAACGGCTCGTAAATTGAAGTTTATAAACACACACACAAAAACAAAAATAAATAAATAAAAATAAAAATATTATAATATAGGATGCAATGTGCCATAATTTCAAAATACTAAGTGGCCATTTGTCTAATCATCCCTTTATGGAACTCTATTAGTCTCAACTCTCAAGTGATTAATCTAACTCACAAGATTGAAAGTCTGACTAAAGTTGGAAAACTGTGATAAGCATAAAACCCTCTCATACACACTTCACCTTATAAAAACATTAGTTCGTACGCCACGTCCAGAATCTAAACCATCAACAGTGTTGTCAAGTGAATTCAAAATGTTTAGACTGAAAGAATCAAATTGTACAAAAATACATAATTACTTTTACTTTTACTTTAATCTTTATTTTGTGGAAATCAATCAAACTAAATGTCAACATCCCACAGAATCGTGCACGAACCTCTAACTGGATGAGCCAACTGTTAGCACCTGTCCCGAACCCACGATGAAAGTGATAGCCCGGTAATGTTCCATCCAAACATACTGAAAAATAAATAGACAAAATAAGAAAAATCTTTCAACACTTTAAAAATCTGCAAGTTTGGTCCCAATTCCATTATTACACTTATTTGTTTCCACTCGTCTCAATGTTAAGTTCACGCAACTAACTCATTAAGAAAGGGAAGTTTGATAGATGTAGCAACCATAAATGGCCCACGAAAAACTAGTTGAGCAGAATTAAATACATATAAATCGCGATGTGCAGACTACAGATGTAATGTAACATCAATGCTAGTGAAGGAAAGTGTGTCAATCATTTTATGGAATAGGACCACAGCAAAGAGGAACACAAACGCAGCTCAACTTAATTTCTCACAATTGCAAACTGTATGTGGAATTAATTAATCCTACATTAAATTTCCTACTTCACAAATTTAATTCCAGCATCAGATCCAGTTCATCGAAAACACATAGTAAAAAACATGACAAGCTAGAGAAGGGAGTGAAACACAGGTGCACCAAAAGTTCCAAAAGAACGAATCTTTTTATCTAAAAATCAATTATAAAAACAAGGTAAAGTAGAAGACTTGGGAACAAGAAAGAACAATAAAGACCCATATACGATTCTTAATAACTTTAGTATATATTTAAAAAGTACTCTGCAAAGGCATCTGGGACCTTCAAAACACACTCAAAGAACAATGAAAATAAAAAAATTACACTATAAAGAAGAAAAAACAAGATTAATAGAGGGAGAAAGAGATTAGTACCAGCCCGTTTAGGAGCAGCTCCTTGAATAAGAGTAAGACCCACCATTAGAGCATTAGGAGGGACAGCTGCAGCTGATACTCCATAAACCGACTCCATAAGTGACATTGACTCCAAATAGGACACCCCATCTTCGGAGCTACTATTCAGCTTGCTGAAAAACTCATCAAGTTCAAAACTTTCGACACCCCATTTCCTTAAAACAAACAGAACACAGATCGAAACCCAAAATCTCACAAATTTCCTCATTGTGTTCTATTATCCAACTGAAGAACTTTACAAAAGCACAAAACTGCGAACTCAAACGAGCAAATCTACGAGTGAGCTGCAGATCCTGTGAATCTGGCTTCCTCAGGACATGTTTTTTCTCTCAGAGTGGGGTGCAGAAAAAATAAAATTACGAAATACTGAAACCTTCACCACTTCAAGAAGTAACTATGGAGATGCTAATATGTTAAAATGAGTAAAGCAATGTGTTAATGGAGTGAACACTGAGCTGTGGTGGTGGGCTGTTGAAAGGTCTATGTACCCTCTGATATATATACATATATATAAAATACATACATATATGTGCGTGTGTCAGTGTGTGTGTCTACACACACTCAAAGTTGATGCCAGAGGTGATGGAAAGAAGGCACGTTTAGAATCTTGAGAAAAATTTGTGGCAAAAACTATATTAACACATTAAACAGAGGCGGGCCAGCCAGCAAAAGTTGCAGGAGCTGGTGGCAAATTGTTTGGTAGCTCAAACCAATAGGGTCGATTTGGAATATTGATAAAGTATTTGGGATATATGGATGGTGACTAATATACATATAAATATATAATTATTTTCTATATTTTTTTTAATTATTTATTGTGGTTTTTTATTGTGTTATTTTGTAATGGCGACATCATATGGTAGGACTGTAGGTGTAAGTGTAAGTGTGTAACCATTTGATGGAACTTCATGCTTTTTTCTGCGTGTTTGATGGATTATATTATTTTTAAATTCATGCTGTTTTTAAATTATATTATTTGATTTTTGATGGATTACTTTGTTTCTTAATCCTACTTCATTACTTCTTTCATTTAGGAAATTTATATCATGCATAAAATTTCTGCGTGTTTGCAACTTGTAATAGTTTTTAAATTATATTATGTTATTTTTGATGGATTATTTTTTTTTCTTATCCTACTTCGTTATTTCTTTCATTCAGGTAATTTGTATTTATATTATATTTTTCACTTTTAACAACAAGATTTAAAACTTGATTGAAAATAATTAAAATAATGATCAGAATTATGTAATATATTATGCTCCATTACATAATTATTATTCTCAATATATATTATCTTTCCAATATAAATACAATTATACAAATTATATTTTCATAAGTCGGTTCGAATTTTCATAAGTCGGAATAACTTGTGTCCACTAATAACTAGGTTCAAATAAATCTATAGCAGCCCAACCTAAAAAGATATTTGACTTCATCATATATAAAAATTACAAAATTTTATATATGATTCTATCATAATGTATATTCTTAAAAATATTTGTAAATCATTCAATGTCATTGTGAATCTGTCCAACTAGCTAGTTGAACTACAATGCACCATCTATCTAAGAATTAAAAAATTACAACATTTTATATATAATTCTATCATAATATATATTTTTAAACATATTTGTAAATCATTAATCAATGTCATTGTAAATCTGTCCAACTAGCTAGTTGAACTACAATGCACCATCGACGGGGTTGAAATAAGAGTATAAGACTCAGAATATATATAATAATAATAAATAATGGTGAAGTAATGCTCCTTTTAAGAATAATACATTGTTTAATGCTAAAAGATAGAAAATCACAGGGTTCATGTGGAACCGTGTTGTTCGGTGCGGCGGTCGGTTTTCATTGCTTATTTTAGGTACTTTAGTCCATGCAATAAATTCGGCTGAATAATAAAAATTAATTTGTCACATGACTGAGAAGGAAAGAAAGGATTTTATGGATTATTCGATTTCAACATTGGTCTTGGCCCGCTTGACTTTTTAAGGCCCGGTGGTGGCTCGGGCTTCAATCCTTCATTTATCCAACTCGGGTGTGATCAAACTAATCCTACGTTAATTACTTTTTTTTCCAATATACCCCTCCATTACAATATAGTATTCTATTTTCATCCTCGTCAAATTACAGTCTTTAACAAAGATAAACACTACAAAAACACCAACTTCGCATACATCTAACATACAAGCAGGGCGAATGTAGATGTATTAATAGAGGGCAATTGCCCCCTCAAAATTTTAATTTGTCCCCCTTTTAAATTTATTTTTGCACCTCCATATTTTTTGTTTTTAAACGTCACTCGTCGGGCCAACTTGTCCACAATTGTCAATTAACAATTCAACACTTCTTTTATTTTACTACTAATTTTGTATATTAATTATTATCATTCTACAATTTTAATTGGTTCATATAAAAGACTTTATTTCTCTTTTTTTGCCTAAGCTAGGGCTGGTATTTTTTGACATAAAATCAAAAACGGAACCGATGAGAAAATAAACAGAACTGAACTGACTTATGTGTAACGGTAATCGGTTCGCTATCGGTTCTGAATCCATTATGTCATGTTTTTTGCCCCCTCTCAACTAATTTTCTGGTTTCGCCCCTGCATACAAGCTTCAAAATCCAGAAATGAATTTCAATTTCCCCAATAAAATTCAACTTCGCAGGTAGAGACACGTGGCTTGTGGGTCGGGAATTCAGGGTATGTTTGTATACAAAAAATTTCAAAAAGAATTCAAAATTGTAAATCAACTACTTTTTTGAACTCAACTCCACTATCATCAATATTATCAATATAATTAAATAATATCAATCAATCATTCATACACACAACATCAACCTTAATTCACTATTCATCTACTCACATTAATTTAACTAACCATCACTTCAAATCTATATCTCTCCCACTTTTACACCAAATCAATTTTAACTAGTACGTAGCCCGTGCGATGCATGAGACATAAATATTAAATGAGTCATTTCCGCAGAGCTTGTCTGTTAAGTAGCTCGTGTGATTCACGGGAGATATTAAATGAGTGGACAATAGGGCTTGTCAGTTAACGCCTAAAAAAATAATAGAGTTTGATCATCTATTTTTTTACCTCTTTCATCAACGTCATCTTTTTTGTCGAGACATTAAACCTGAGCATAGTAGTGATAGCGCTAGACCGTAAATTAATTAATATATTATCTCGCTCACATGTTTATAATAATATAAATTTGATTTCATTATATATATTTATTCCTTGATATAAGAAAAATAACAATTTTACGTAATCTTATTCCTCGTATAATAATCATATTATTTTATTATAAAATTTATTGTAATAGCATGTTGACCCATTTATATTATTATAAATAATATTTTAACATATATATTTATTTTTTAATACAAAATAATAATAATTTTACATATTTAGGTTCATCATAATACTCAAATATTAATCTATCAAAAAATCTATTATCATATAATGTCATAATTATTTATAACACTTGTAGAAGTAATATATTTGTTATATAATGATAAATATGTAATGTATATTAATATTATTTAGTGATGTAATTAATTTAAAAAGATATAAGCAAATTTAATGTTTGGTAGGAATGTGATTATATGTAAGTTGAGATAAAATGAAATGTATCGAAAAAATCTGCTTATGATATTTTCCTTTAAATGTTTGAATGAATTTGAAATTCAAATTACAAATCAACCTCTAGTTATGAAATAATTTTAAAAAAGTTACTAATTGTAGTAAAATGTACGTGACAATATATTATAAATATACATGACGTCAGTAATGTTATGAATCTTTAAGTTCCTAAAATATATATTGTTTAGATATGAAATTAATTAACTTATATGTTAAGATAATATATATAAATATATGTATTGTACGAAATATACACGTGACAAGTTATTATATTTGTTTGTATATTTGTTTGTATTGTTTATTATATTTGTATATAAATATATTGTTTATATATTTGTCTGTATTGTACGACAAATTATTATATTTGTTTATATATTTGTTTAAATATATATTGTTTAGATATGAAACTAATTAACCTATATGTTAAGATAATATATATAAATATATGTATTGCAATTAATATTCCCTATTTTTTAGCTTACTATTTTTGAAAAATGTTAATTCTTATTATATATATATAGATTATTTCATTTTAAATATTTTTTTAGTATACCCACTAACAACTAATCATACCATATTTTTCAAAAAATCATGACAAAACCAAAAAATTTTATATTCCAACATGCTCTCAACGTGCGGCAACTTGAGTTGGGTGAGGTAGGGTATACCCACAGCACAACCTCAATTTCTTAATCCTTATGGTGACATGAGAATGAAATGATCATTCCCTTACTCATTCCTAATCCCATGATTGGTATATTTTTTGGGAATGAATAACCATTCCAATGGGAATGGCAAAACCCATCTCCATGGGATTAACCATTTCATAGTAAATGGAAGGTTTTCTCATTCCCATGTGTATAGGAATCAACTTTTCAAAAAATAAAATTAACAAATTAATAATAAAAAATAAATATATAATATATATTATAAATCATGATTAAAATATATTAAATAAAATTATTTTAAAAAAAATTCAAATAAAAAAATTGAAAACTTACTTTTATTTATATTTTAATTAGATATATTAAATACTTATATAAAAATAAAACTAAAAAAAACATTTATACATAATTTAAAAATATATTATTTTATTTATATATATTATTAAAAATATATTATTTTTTATATATTAAAAATATATTACTTTTAAAAATATATTATTGAAAAATCTTAAAAATATATATTATTAAAAATATATTAATTTATTTTTAATTATTATTAAAATTTATTATTTTAAAAAATAAAATTCAAATAAAAAAATTTAAAACATACTTTTATTTACTGTTTAATTAAAAAATAAAACATATTATTTTATTTTTATATATTATTAAAAATATATTATTTTTTATACTATTAAACAATATATTATTCTATTTTTACATATTTTTCAAAATATATTATTAAAAATATATTATTTTTAATATTATTAAACAATATATTATTCTATTTGTATATATTATTCAAAATATATTATTTTATTTTTATATATTATTAAAAAAGTATTTATATATAATTTATTAAAAGTATATTATTTTTTAAAAAAAAACTTTTATTTATTTTCATAATAAAAAATGATAATGTCATTCCATTTCAGTCATATTCCTTCTGCATATCAAACGCATCAATGACAAAACATGTTTCATTCCATTCTCATAATTATTTCATTCTTCAATTCATTCAATTCCTACGAAATTTCATTCCATCATACCAATCATGCCATTAGTCCTTTCGTCCTACTCTGTTTCTACTTAGCATCACAACCAAAAATTTCGTAATACTAATAACTAACTTATTTGCTTAGAAAATATATTGGTCATAGTCTACAAGTCATAGTCCAACCACTTGGACAGTTGGACTTATCAGAACTTTGCCAATTGCTGTTAACCTCATAATTTGATACTACCCAACCTGTTTAGACAAAATTTCATAAGGTAGGTGCAATTTTTCGGTAAGTTCGATCCGGTGAGGGCAATTTCCTCACCACCTCAAAATACGACACCTGTCAACATTTATATATTAATTTTTGTTTTTTATTTTTTATGCAGAAATCCAACTAAAGCAAAACATGG